ATAGATAGATAGATAGATATATCTAGATGGATAGATAGATAGATAGATAGATAGAGATAGATAGATAGATAGATAGATAGATAGATATTATTATTATTAGATAGATAGCTAGATAGACAGATAGAAGTAAAAGCAAATTTACTTTTAAGATAGATATAGATAGATAGATGGATAGATAGATAGATAGATAAATAGATGGATAGATAAATAGATAGATAGATAGACACAGAGACAGAAGTAAAAGCAACCTTTCTTACTTTGTATGTAGTATATCAGTAACACTGCAGCCCGTTGGCGGTGGTAGCGCACCATTCTACAACCTGTTGTCAGAACTCGCTGGGCGTAAGTCAAACAGATTTTCCTCCCCGAATGAATAATGATTTTACAATGTGGTATACACCTACATGAACTTTATATACGTCACTCCCGACGCGCTTTGCACACCTGGCCGGACGCACGGATATACATGTACACGCACAGTAGCGAACTACATGTAACGTAATCTCCAAGCAGATCCCTATCGGTGGCAAAAAGACAGTATCAAATTGGCCAGGCAGTATCCATTAGCCAGAGAAGGTCCGCGGCCACCGACTGTATTTGGTGGGATTAGCGACAAAAAAAACGGCCATATATAAAAAGCTAACGATCATTCCCCCACAACCTCTGCTTGGAGAGTACATGTAACGTTAGTACTAAACTTGGAACCTAACACCTCAGTTCGAAAATACAGCTCGGTTTGGGTTGCAGAGTTTCGAAGAAGACAATAGCTCAAGTACTAGAGAATTGATTTGATTTGATTTGATTTATGGGCATTTGATAGCGGTAAACTTCGTATATACTGATTCGTGCGAATTTGATAGAATTCATGCGAATGCTTAGCCATCCTGGGCTGTGCGAATTTCATAGAATCCGTACGAATACCTAGGAATCCTTCTTGTAGCCTGGGTGCCATCCTATTTGTATGCCGGAACTCCCATTCTCGCTCCTAAAAAGCACTCAGGCTATCCCTCTTGTAGAAAAGGATTCTCATAGAATTCGTGCGAATGTCTAGGCATCTATGGCTGTGCGAATTTCTTAGAAAATCATATTATCTGTACGAATGCCTTGAAGCATTCTGTATCGGTATCGGTATAGCCGGTATAACCGCCCTCCGGCGTAACACACCAGCATTGTGGAAGAGTCGGCAGTTAGGACATTTAGGAGAAGAAGAAGCGTCAAGGCTAAAATAAGAGAAGGGTTCAAATTTCCCGCCCTTCCTTCCAACCTCCCATGATGCTTCGTGGCACCTCTCTCCGCCACAGATGACTTACTGCGCATGTGTGCCAAATCCAGGAGAAAAAGATTCGCGTTCGCGGGAGACTTTTCCTGCGTTCTGGGCTTTTCTAACTAAAGCCTCTAAAAACACAAAGGAAAGGACGACACTGAAGTCTGTCAGGAGGACGGAGCACCATATTCCACACCTTGGGTGCGATAGAAATCGGTAAATTAGTCCGATTATGACGATAGGTTTAGGTCGGTGAAGTGGGTAGGGGGCGAAAAAATATCAAGGTGGCAGAACACAGTTTTCGCCCTATGGGGATTCCTATAGTTAAGCACCCCGAGGTGACTCACTTCGACGCGGTAAAAATTATAGTAGGATGCACTAAATAATCACGGCCAACTAATATGTTGACATATACAAAAAAACTGAAAACCAAAAAAAGTTATCGTTTTTTTTAACATAATGACGACCACTTTGATTTGGCCCTCTATCGAGATCAACGGAACTGCAGCCGGCTCACCCTGGAACGTGGTTGCGTAATGCCGCGCATTTATACACGAACAGGGAAATCTTCACAATCCAACTCATACTGTGTATATACAAGCCGATACCTTTCCTTACCACACAGTGCAGTTTATTCATGGCTACCTCTCACATAAGTCGCTTTAGCCAGGATGCAAGAGGTTTGTCTGCACTACTTTCTATACCCGCGACCGGAAGTCGCGGATAATTACTGTGTTCTGCGACCTCAATTTTTTTACCATAAATATTGCGTAAATAATGATATCATTTCGTATGATAAGTTGTTTCGTATTGAAGTCATATCGCTATCTGTTTCCAGTTCAGTTAAGTAGAACTCACCTCTGTGCATGTTTTATTGCTGATCCTCTGATTTGAATAATAATGAATGGATAACTTCATGGCAATTTGTTGAAAGGACCTGGAGTATGATATTAACATAAATCTATCAGAATGATAGAAACATGTTAGCAAGACAAGTTGCTAACGTTAGAGGTGAGAATCGAACCCATGAGCTTTCCACCATCCCATAAATATAATTTTCTGGGAAAGGTGCTCCCTAGTCGTTTGATGTTTCAAAAAAAAATCAGCAAATTTTCATGAAAATATACATATCTCGATCCTTCTTTTTCTTTCATACTTGCATAACATTGCCTCCTCAACAGTGACATTCATCTACAGCATCCTGGGATCTGAACCCATGCCCTCTGGAACATACAGGATCTGCACCTACAGACAAAACACGTCTTTACCTCTTTTCCTCCTTTAGTTCTTGATAACTTTGCTTTCTAACAGGGACCTTCATCAAAAATATGCTAGGATTCAAACCAGTGCCCTCAGGAACATGCAGGATTTGCACCTACAGACAAAACACATAATCATTCTTTCCCTTCCTTCTTTATTTCTTATTTCTTGATAACTTTCATTCCTTACAGGGACCTTCATCTCTAGTATGCTGGGATTTGAACCAGTGCCTTCAGGATCATGCAGAATCTACCCTTACAGACAATACACAGCTTTTTTTTCTTCATTATTTCTTTCTTCTTCAGATGTACAGTTCATCCACAGTATCCAGTGACCTTTAGGAACATACAGACAAAACACTTTGAACTCCTTCCTTCTTTAATTTTCACTTTGTCAATTATTCATTAACTTAATTTGCTTTCTCAACAGTGACATTTCTCTCACCCATGCAGGGATTTGAACCTTGAAACATGCAAAATTTGCACTTACATTGTACATGTTTACAACTTTCTATTTATTTCAGTGTGATTCAAGATCCTCAAGAACTTATTGTCCTAATTAAATAAGGCTTTCTCTTTCAGTTCACTCTCTAAGTGTGCAGTCGCTTGGGATCTTAACTTCCAATTTATTTCAGCTTCACTCTAGATCCTCAAGAATTGAATGTCCTGACAGACAATCCTTTGCTTTTCAGTACCTTCTCAGTAAGTGCACTTTGTGCTGCTCCTTGGGACTTGAACCAACAACCTTTGGTAAACTGACAGGTTTTTAACTTCATGTTGGTTCCTGATTCTGCAGAACTGAATGTTCTAACAAACAATCCATTACCTGTCAGTACATCTTTGTAAGAGGCCGAGTGAGTAACCCAATATCCCCATGTATGCTAGCTGGGCCGTGGAGACCACATTTCCAACTAAATTATAATATAAGTATATTTATGTAGAAGCTTATTTGCATAATTTAATGACACCAAGTAATGCTAACTATTTACAAACTTTACTTTGATATAAAGATTTTCAACTATAAATAACGTTGAACTTCTCTCTTCTGTGTATAAACAACTCACGTGATTCTATAAGCGGGAAAATAATGAGAAATGGAAGCGCTGGCGTCCGACCAAGGACCACGCTCTGATGGCGATAAACTCAGACCAGTACTAGGGCATGGAACATCATACCAAGGACATTATCGTACTGACTGTTCATAGACGTCATTTTCCCCATACAGCTCAAACGTACTAACACCGTCGGCACTCTAAGCTCGACGACATGTTCAGACAAATAAACACGACGCGATTCAACGCAGTAAACGATCAGCCAACGGACCAAATATGGAAATTTCGGAATGCATAATTAATCACCACTCCTGTCAATCATTCCTGATTGACAGCGTGGGCGGTCAAATTTCGGAATATTCCAAATCGTGGTCCAGCTGCGACATGAATTGGGATACAACGTGAGGAATGCCTGTTGGATTCCGAAACGTGGTCCATTCCAAATCATGATTTGGAATAACATGTTTTGGAATGCAACATACATTTTAATAGCGGTTACCTACACACCAAAACCATTGCCGACAAATAACCGAGTTATAATGTTGACCTACATGCAAATCCACACTACACCCAATTATAATACAATAAATGTCAATTTTTGCGCATTAACGGAAATCAATATCCTCAATACGGAATATTACATAAAATTGTAAGCTGGAATTGATTATCATTTGCTAGGTTTTGGAAAGTTTTGGGATTGCAGAACCGACCACGCACAGCTATCAAAGTGACAAGACAACCGTCAAGTTCCTAGAAACTTTATTGCGATACCACGCACATTTCAGACGTACGTCTGAATTGCGTTTTTACAATCAATGTGGTGTAAGCTCTACTAGTCAGTCATTCTTATACACAAAACATTTATTTCTTTAATTACTTCTGTTTAATTTATACAGGGTAGAGACCTCAGTGCTATTTAAAACATTGCTTTTCAGGAATGCCCTGTACATGACAACAAGTTACACATGAAGACAATGAAACCAACACATTAAATGATACATGAAATTACAAAAGAACCAAGCGTCAAAACAAAATCGTTAACCGTAAATCAATGTCGTTAAGACAGGCCAGGGTCAGGAGGTCAGAGGTCAGCAGGGTTGTTTCAGAACCTTCTTAAACGACAGGTAAGACGTGGCCACTCTAACTGTGGCAGGTAGGCCGTTCCAGGCAAATGCTCCCCTATACGCAAACTTTCTTCGGCCTGATTCCAATCGGACTTTAGGAAGTTTTTAAAGATAAGTTTGAGTTGTGCCTAGTTTGGTAGATACGAGATGTTCTACAGAACACTTGTAGGTATTCCGGTACTTGTTGGTGTATTGATTTGAAGACGGTTTGAAGGAGGTGCATATGCCGACGACTTGCCAGGGAATTCCAACCCAACGCAGACAGCTGTACATTATCTATATCGATATCACTTAACGCATGTTAGCCACGTACCAACAGCTTGATTTTTACCTTCAACTGTCTGTTGGATATGGTTACTCCTAGTCCTGATGTTAGTTTACTTTCAACTGGTTGCCATGCAGTCTGCATGCTATCTTTGTTACGAGAACCATCATAAAGCCGAAAGCCCCTGCGGTCTGTCAACTGTCCTGCAAGCGTGTGGACAGCGTCTCGCACCTGTTGTGCCGCCATGCGGAGAGACGTGGAATTGCAATAACAGGTGATGGGCGCCATGCTTACATACTCCAGTCGTGTCATGTTGGCAAAGGCCTTTGCCAGCGCAGAGACACTGAGCGCCAGCTCGTTTTCACCCAAGTAGAGTTTCCTTAACTGCTGCAGGTGAACCAGCCTGTTGGCCACGGCTTTTCCTCCCACGTTTGTTATTGAGTTCTTGGCAATGTTCAAAACTTGGAGCTCTTTCAAGTGAGGAAAGGTCTCTGCAATTGCTTCCACCCCTTCATCCCCTATCGTATTATACATAAGAACTAAGTCTTTTAGCGTATCCAGGACGTGTAGCTGTCCAGCCAGTACTGTCGCTGCGTCAGCAGAAAGCCTGGATTTAATAATATAGAGCTCTGCAATTCCTTTGAGATACGGGAAAAGTTTGACCAAGGCTTCAACGTCAGTGTCCAACAGTACTTGCCTTACCAGTAACAACTTCGCGTTGCCATTCTTTGAAAGTCCGTCTGTCTTGTTCCGCAGCGTCTCCAACGCGTTCAACATGGAAGAAAAGACCTCGCTGTATGCGGATAGACCATGT